TGCAGGGAGGCAAATAGCACTTACTGAGTGTCTGCGATTAACTAGGAACTATGTTTAGCATGTTGTGTATATTATTTCATTCTGTTCACGACAACCATATTCTTCTGATTATTCCCTTTTTACAGATAAAGAAACTGACGCTCAAGGATGATAAATTATTCAAGTTTATTTAACTAAAATATAATAAAACTGGGACTTAAACTCAAAGTTTATGTTTTATATCATTTCATGCTAGCTTTGTACTAACGTGGGAAATGGAGTTCTGTAACTAATGGTACCTGTATGGGGTAGATGGTTGTAGCCATCAGAAGAGAGAATAACACGGCAAGGGTAAAAGAAAAAGGAGATATCTTTGCTTTGCCAAAAACAATAATGATAGCTTACATTAGTATTGTGCTTCCTGGTTTTCGAAATACTTTATGTAAACTTCCCGTTTTACAGATAAGAATACAGAGCCTCAGAGTATAATTCAAAAGTAATTGGGAAAAGACAGACTCAAACTCAGAACTTCTGACTTTAACTTCAATTCTAGTATTTCATAGTAGCTTTCCCACATGCTTAGCCTCAGGGACAAAGGAAGGACCGTGGTTAGGTTTTGTGTGAATGTTCTGTGCATATGATGATTCTGGTCAGACTTGACAGGTCTTGTGAAGTCATCCATCTCTGGGTGTAAGTGAGGGCTCTGCTCTCCCAATTGTTTGGCAGAATCAGTGAGCAATATGTGATTACTAACTGACTGAATCAATGTTAAGTTGGAACTTGGCTTTGTGTAGTCTTTGACTGCAACCATTTGTTGGATGCCCAAGTTACACAAACTCAGGAACAGAGGAACCCCCTAAAATCCCTCGTGCTCTGGGTTTTCATGTGTAAAAGTGACAAAGTTGATGGGTATAAAACTCTGGTTACAGGGAAGAAAATTCTCATCTACTCAGTGCCTGGCTTTTGGGCATTCTTGGTGTTCCATGGGAAAGAAAGAACCAAGATAATTTGGAAAATGACAACTTGTTTACAACATCCTACACGACTTCTTTCTGCAAGAGGTTGCCTATTTCCCTACATCCCTTTCATGTTCTGCAATGTCTTTCTTCTACTATTGAAATTCTTCCTGCAACACAGGTACAAGCGAAGAGAAGTTTAAGGCTGCCATTGAGGGGCTTCCACAGTCTCTAAACCTGGTATTCCTTTCATCAGCTGCACTAGAATGGCAAGTCTGCACAGGCCCGAGGGGTAGCCAGCCTCCCTTGGGTTGGTCCAGGACGGGGAACCACATTTTGCAGAGAGTTTTTTTCAGATTGAGAAACCCTAATCCTGATCTCCTCTTTTGATGATTTTACAAAACTCAAATTGTGTGATAGATGCCCAGATAAACAGGAGAAGTTTGTAATCAAAGCAAGTTCTGGGATGGAGATGATTCATAGATTTTTTAATGGCTATGAGCTTGATAATCACTCACGAGGAGTAGCTTCCAGGTGGACCAAACCCATGCATAAGTTCACGCACAGCCGTGTACACGAACACCTACTTGGTGGGTATATAAGGGGATCCTGAGAGTCTTCCCACAGCAAAGCTGAATCTCCAGCCTTAACTCTTCTCGAGAACCTTCAATTCTCCTCACTGGGCAAGGCATCATGAGTTGTCAGATCTCGTACAAATCCCATGGAAGAGGAGGAGGAGAAGGTGGAGGAAGATTCTGGGGCTTCAGCAGTGGCTTGGCTGTGGTCTCTGGTGGGAGCCGGAGATGGGCCTCAGCTTCTCCTGCTTGAGCTGCCATGGTGGTGGCAGAGGGGGCTTCAGTGGAGGCGGCTTTGGCAGCCGGAGTCTTGTTGGCCTTGGAGGAACCTAGAGCATCTCCATTAGTGTGGCTGGAGGAGGTGGAAGCTTTGGTTCCAGTGGTGGATTTGGTGGCAGAGGAAGTGGCTTTGGAGGAGGCAGTGGCTTTGGAGGTGGCAGTGGCTTTGGAGGTGGTGGTTTTGGTGGAGGAGGCTTTGGTGGAGGCTACTTTGGAGGTGGTGGTGGCTTTGGAGGCTTTGGGGGCCCTGGTGGCTCTGGGCCTGGAGGATTCCCTGGTGGAGGTATCCACAAAGCCTCCGTCAATAAGAGCCTCCTGCAGCCTCTCAACGTGAAAGTTGATTGGGAGATTCAGAATGTGAAGTCTCAGGAGTGGGAGCAGATCAAAACACTCAACAACTAATTTGCCTCCTTCATTGACAAGGTGAGTCAGGAGATGCTGTCTCCTTCTAATGCTCAAGATGCCCTGCTTTCAGTGCTGATCAAAAAGAAAATTGCACAGAGTGGTTCATTTAGGAGCCATTGGTGTCGCAGCCCTAGGTTGCATTAGGTTATTTGCAATTCTCAACTGGAGAGATGCTGGCAATGTAGACTACATTTTCTATAACACTTGGCAGTTAGGAAGGATTTTGCCCCTTGGCTTTATTGTTTCAGTCCAAATAAATAATATTTACGGAAAATTCTGAAAACCATAAAAAAACTGATACAGGCAATTAATGGACTGACTAGCTCATGCCTTATTACAGCTGGTTTTGGGAGGGATTGGTGAGGACATCTTCTGAGATAGTCTTTTCTTCCCTAGAAGTTATTACTCTATTAACTTCTGGGAAGCTGAGCCTGATATATCTGCTTGGGGATGCATGAAATTGCTGCCTTCAAGAGAAGCATTCTCAGTTTTGTGTCCATAAAGTCTTTATTGCTGTTACTTTAGAATATTACTGGGCTTTCTCCTATTTCAGAGCTGGTGAACCTTGGAATTTACAAGCTCTTAAAAACCAGGCCGAGGAGCCCTGCCTTCCAGTACTCTCATACTCAGTATCCCTAGGAGCAGTGCCAGCGAGTGCCTGTTTCTGGTTTTTCCCAGAATTTATGATGGGAATTCAGCTAAGATTGGGGAGGAAAATGGCCTGGAGTCTTGGGAGCAGCTGCAAAACAAAACAGTGAGTGGTGAAGTAGGAAAGAAAGTTCTGTACACGGAAAGGGCCAGATGTGGCATTAATTGTCTGTAGAATTTTCCAAGAATGCAAGCAGGGAGATCAGAAGCTCTAGCTGGTCTCATCTGGCACCCAGCTGGTCAGGACAGAGCCTTATAGATTCTCTAATTCTCAAAGCAAGACCAGAGCTGACTCTGGGCTGTGTGGCTTGCCTAGCTGATGGGTGCTCCTCTGAGCTCATGCACTTTCGTTTTGGTCTTGGTAGGTGCGGTTCTTGGAGCAGCAGAACCAGGTGCTGCAGACAAAATGGGAGCTGCTGCAGCAGATTGATGTCCATAGCTGCACCGCCAACCTGGATCCCATCTTCCAAGCGTTCATCGACACCCTGAAGAAATACATGGATGGGATCTCTGCAGAAAGGGCATCACAAGATTCTGAGCTGAGCAACATGCAAGATTTTGTTGAGGATTTTAAGAAGTAGGTGGCAGCATAAACACTGAAGGGAGATACATATCCATGAATCATCCGAGCATTCTCCCAGAAAGCCACTGTCTCCCAATTGCACTTTTGGTGACAAAAAGGAGAGCCTCTGTGTATTTGTGTATTATTTATGAGAGTATTTAGGGTTTTAGAGATCCTATTTTGACACGTTTGAGAGTTACTTGATAGAAAACTACCCCTCGCTTGGAATATCATAGTTTCAATTTACACATGTAAAATGTGTTTAATACTCCCGAAGAATTGGATATTTTGGGTGAATCCAGTAGGAAAAGGTAAAGAAAAAAAAAAACAAAAAGGAAAAACTAGACCTCATCTAATTACTGTGTCCTTTGTGTGCCAACAGATATGAGGATGAAATCAACAAGTGCACATGTGCTGAGAATGAATTTGTGAAACTTAAAAAGGTGAGCAAGGGACTTCCATGGCTGGCAGGTGGGAAGTTGGGGATGCTTCAAAACCCCATGGGTCCAAATGGACAGGCTGGAAAACAGATATAAGTGAAAACAGCAGTAGCCAGAGAAAGGCGTGTCTGTTGCTGGTTCTCTGTAACCAGCCGAGGTGTCTCTGTAGTTGAAGCTTCCAGTGGCAATTTTCAAAGATGTTCTGCAAATTTGTTGGAGCATTTCCTTATCCATAACCCACCTATACTGGATCATAAAAATTGTAAACACAGAAAGCTCCTTATTCTTTTCCTAAAGAGCTGAGAAAGGTATGGGACTTCCTTAGAATGCCTTCTCAAACATTCTGTGGTTGTACAGACAAAAGTTTGAGCTAGGAGGCCAAAAGCATAGGTTCTTAGCCAAGTTCCTAAAAAGGCTTGGTTTATAATCCAGAAAAATTCAGGACAGGTGGGATGGACAGACAGGATGGGAGAGCTGAGGACTGTGGAAACCCACAGAGGCTATTAACAGCAGTTAGTGGGAAAACACCACGTCTCAAGCAGGAGGGAGAGAATGGTTGGCAAAGCTTGGACCCACCAGAGCTCTGATGATCCTGGGGTGTGTGACAAACAGACATGGGCGTGAAGCCCCCTAGCAGAGGTGCATTGTGGCCCAATGGGGGCATGGCTCATGGGAGGTGCCTGGAATTAGGGGTGAGGAGAGTGGCCAAGAGAGGTTGGGGCCTGTGCAAGGAATGATGCAGGTGAGGGGAAGTGACATGAGTTTCACCAGAGGCCATTGATTATCCTTTCAGGACGTGGACAATGCCTACATGATCAAGGTGGAGCTGCAGGCCAAGAAAGATGTGCTGAATCAGGAGCTGGAGTTCCTGAAAGTCCTCTTTGATGTGGTAAGGAGGCTGCTTCTGGACAGACCCTAGCTTCCCACCCTTCCGTTTCAGTTGGTGGAAAGGTGGAATGAATGAGGTTTATGGGCCAGCTGACTTCAGCTTGCCATCATTCCAGGATACTGGGGGGAGCTTCTATAGCATAGGTCTTGGGGGAAAGGAACTTTCTACTCTGATGTCAGAGGACATAAGGCTCAGAAAACACCAGGACAACCTCCCCACACTTCACCCCACAAATGCCTAGCTTCCCTTAGGAAGAAGCCTGCTCTATTCCCTTTCCTATGCTCAGTGTGCTTCAGGAGTCAAAGTGCATTATTATCCCTTCCCCATTCCAGCACACACATGTGATTTCTGAAACAGGAAGTAACCTTTAAGGCATTTACTATCTCCTGGGAACCCTTGAGTCCATAGGGTTGCTTTAGTCTGAATTGACTCGATGCCAAAGGGTTTTTTGGTTAACAGGTTTGGGGACACTTACCATTAACTGGCAGAAGTGTTAACTAGGAGGCTTGGAAATGCAGATAGGCCTCCCCCTAGTTCTCAGGAAAACTTGGCACAGGCCTAAAAATGGTGGTTATATTGTTTTTAATCCCACTCAGTGTATGCTTAGTTTAAGATTCTGTGTATATCCCTAAACATCAGGGCAGGGATGCCTTTGGTTATAGGCAGGAAAGTCATGGCCAGCTTCCCTGTGTGTGTAGGAGCTGTCCCAGATGTAGCAGAGTATCACCAACATCAACGTTATTCTGTCCATGGACAACAACTGAAACCTGGACCTGGATAGCATCATTGCCAAGGTCCGGGCCCAGTACGAGGAGATTGCTCAGAAGAGCAAAGGCAAAGCTGAAGCTCTGTACCACAGCAAGGCAAGTACTGGGAGAGCAGACTCACAGCTCCTTACAACAAGATGGGTCTTCAGCTGCAACCAGAAAATGTTCAGTAAGATTACTGGTGTTTTTACCTAATGGAACTTAGTTGTCATTCTCAGGAAAATGTCCACAGGACCCCAAATACCCCCAGTCAAGAGTGGCATCAGGTACCTATGGGGACATGAGATAGTCCATCCACCTGTCAGGAATTCAAGCATGATATTCAGCTTGGTTGACCCTCCCTGGACCAGCTGTCAGACTTCTTGGCTCAAGACTAAGTTTCTCCCAAGCTGGAACCCACCTATGAACTGTCCTCTTCCTCCCATATCAGTACGAGGAGCTCCAGATTACTGCTGGGAAACATGGAGACAGCCTGAGAGAGATCAAGGTGGAGATCAGTGAGCTGAATTGCATGATCCAGAGACTGAAAGGGGAAATCGCCCACATGAAGAAGCAGGTGAGGTCCTGTCCTCAAGACTGGTCCAGCTTGATGGGTTGAGGGAGGCTCAGAGTAGGTGGTGGAAGGTTGTATATATGTATGTGTAAGTGTGTGTGCGTGCAAGAGATAGTATAAGTGTGTGTAAAAGACTGTTTATGAGAGTGTAAGAGTATGAGCGCATGTGTGTGTGAGAGAGAGGAAACACTGGGAAATTCTAATCTAGCACTATTAATCCCAAACATCTCAAGCTTAACATAAAGTAAGTTTTGTAACAATTTTTAGGGTCGTCTAAGAGACATCCTAATGTATGAATTAGTTTGGAAAAGAATTGTGTTCACTTTTTGATTGTTTATATGGATGAAAGGGAACAATAACAAATAAAGCAAAAGTTAGTTTACCTTGCTGTGGACTGCAGGATTAGCTTCCCACTTAGCTTGGCACAGACCTCAGGCACCAGCTGAGGCATAATGGAGGGGCAGTAAGTTTTGAAGGGAGGTAGCCTGGGATGGGCCATTAGCTTTCCATACATAACGGAGAGGTTAGACAGCTGACTCCATAGGCAACAGAATTTTTGTAAAGCAGTCAACGTTGAACGTTTTCATATGCATCTATAAAAAATGGGATAATGATTCTGGCTTTGTGTCATGAGTATCCGAGGGAATTACTGGGAAGGCGTTAGGGTCCAGTCAAAGGCAACATGAGGAGATGATGCCCAGAGAGAGCAGCATGTCTTAGTACAGTCGTTTGTGACCTGCACTAACTGCAAGGGAGACCTCACCACTCCTGGGACCGGTCATCCAGGCCTTCTACACCCCGAACACATCTGCTCGCTCTCCCCCTGGCGGTGCAGACTCGACGGTCTCTGCACACACAGAAACCCTGCCTCCTTTTCTCACAGTTTAAGAATGTGCAGGATGCCATTGCAGATGCTGAGCAGAAGGGAGAACATGTCCTCAAGGATGCCAGGCAGATGCTCTCAGACTTGCAGGAGGCCCTGCAGCAGGCTAGAGAGGACCTGGCCCAGCTACTGTATGACTACCAGGAGCTGATGAACACCAAGTTGGCCCTGGACGTGGAGATCGCCACCTACAGGAAGCTGCTGGAAGGTGAGGAGTGCAGGTGAGAGGCCGTTGGGAGGAGAGAGGGCACACTGGACCACCTTTCTTTTCTTCCAAAACCAGGTCAAGAGGCAAAGGCAGGGAAAGCAGAGGACAGGGCAGGGCTCTCTGATGGCTAAGAACTTCCGTACACTATATCCCCAAGCAGTTCAGGACACAAAGCATTATAGTAGTTGTTGTTAATTGCTCCACAGAGGAAAAAACTGAGATGAATGGAAATGCAAGACCATGGGTAAATATGGTGGCCTGTCCCCACCTCTGCGATCTGGCAGCACAGAAGAAAGTGGGGTCTGTAAGGACCAATGTTAGAGGCTAAACTGTATGTTTGTAGGTGAGCATTTTAATACATATATACAGAACCTAAGTGCTTTACCACAAAGTTATTTTCTCTCTGTCCATTATAGGATGTCTGCAGACCAGAGCAGCAACATGACTGTGTGTAAGTAGTGGAGAGCAATCTTGTCTTATGGGGAAGTGTGGGGTGGAGGCAGGAGGAGGCAGACGGAGGCATTGAGAACTTTGAGGTAACACATTCTCTCTCTGCAGCTGTGACAAGCAGCACTGTTTCTTCAAACGTGGCATCCAAGGTAGGCTTTGGAGGCCGTGCGTCTGGAGGAAGAGGGTCTAGTTCTGGTGGAGGAGGATATAGCTCTGGAAGTAGCTGTTATGGCTCAGGAGGCAGAGGATCTAGCTCCAGAGGTGGCAGTGGTGGCAGCTATGGCTCTGGAGGTGGCTCCAGAGGAGGTTTTGGCTCTGGAGAAGGATATAGCTCTGGAGGTGGCTCCAAAGGAGATTCTGGCTCTGGAGGTGGTTCCAGAGGAGATTCTGGCTCTGGAGGGGGAGGTTCTAGCTCTGAAAAGGGTGATTATGGCTCAGGTGAAAGTTATGGTTCCAGGGTGACCTTCTCTTTCAGATAAGGATGAGGTCTCCCCCTCTGAATCTCCCACTCCAGAATGTAGAATCTGTCTCTGTACCTCTACCTGACAGCAAGTCAAATTTTGTCGTCCATCTCTGATGGCATTTTGGGGAAAGGGATGCCCACGTGTAGTTTTGAAATATCTTCTCTCCAAACAAATTAGTTAGAGCCAGTGATACCCACTGTGCCCTGGGAAAGAATCTTCCAGCTATGCCCCATTCCCTGCCCCTCCTTGCCTCCTTGCGTTGCCCATTTGGTGGTCCTCTTCCAGAGAGATATTCCATTGAAGACCCCAGTGCAGCCTATTGATTTCATCTCAAAGCATGCACATTTTCCCTGGAAGCACCCAGGGAAAGCATACTTCTTATGTATATAGCTCCTCTTGTTCACTTTGCTCTTAATATGTTGTGGTCATGGTGTCTGCACAATAAACTTCATTTGCAATTCATATCATCTGATGTCTGTTTAATGCCAAGCACAAATGAACAGCCAGAAACTATTATTCATCGCTGTCTAACTTAAGACACCAGGGAAAGGAGAGATTGGGAACTGATAAAAGAAAGGTTTCCTGGATGAGAGATGTGTTGCCCTGAGGGAAGTGTGGCTTGGAGAAGCCTAGGGTGTTTTCCTCTGTAAGTCTTTAAAAACAGGGATGAGGGAGGCTACTGGAGTCAGGGGATGGGTGAGATGTCTCAAGAAGTATTTGCCAGACCTGGGGTCTGTGGTATTGCCAGGAGCTGGACATGAGCATTTGTGGAAAATTCTCTTTTCCAAAAAAAAAAGAAAAAGTCTTCCTGAGAAGCATTTTCCCACAAACCCACCCCCTATTCCCATTTTCTGACAGAGCTTTGATCTGAGGCCCTTTCTTCTCAGCACAAAGCAGCTGAGCCCCCAGAGCCCCCACCCAGGCTGTCTGAGCTTCCAAAACACCATCCCCTCAGCCTGACATGAGTGATAGGCCGCTCCTGTGTCCCTCCAATTGAGTGCCCCTTTGGAAGCCCTCAGCAAGGTTAAAGGGGAATATTTGAGGAAGCACCTGGAGACTATAAAGGGTCTCCAAAAAAAAAAAAAAAATTCTATTTTGATGGAAAGGAGCCCTGGTGGCACAATGGTTAAGAGCTCAGCTGCTAACCAAAAGATCAGCAGTCTGAAACCACCAGTGGCTCTGTGTGAGAAAAGACCTGGAGATCTGCTCCTGTAAAGATTTCACCCTAGAGAAAACCTGTGGGGAAGTTCTATTTTGTCTTATCGATTCACTATGAGTTGGAATCAATTCGATGGCACACAACAACATTTTGACAGAATTCCCCCCTCCCCCCACCCAGTTTCCTGCCACCAGAGCCGTCTCATCACATTCAGTGGACCCTTCGTTTTTTCCTCCAATCCACCAGCCCTCTGAAAGCCCCTCCCCACAGCCATACCAATCAGGCAGCCTTCTATGGGTGTGAAGATAATTTCAGCCCCTCTTCCAAAAGGCCCTGTCACCTGGAGCTCAGGAATGACTGGGCAGGTCAGGAACGGATCCTTGGGGATGGTATTTAGAGTGACTAGAGTTGGCCGAATGAGAGTTGGTAGCTTAGGTTGGATCAGGTCAAGCTTCATATATGTGGTATCCAGATGTGGCAGAGGTGACTCTAAACAACTCGGTAAGAAAGTTCTGAGGGATGCTTTTCCGTCTCATTCCATTCCATCTTCAAAACCTTGGTGACATCTTGGTTGAGTCTATGACACTCCTTCTGTCCCTAGGGGTTGCAGAGATGGCTTTGAGAAATGCAGGGGGAGGTATTAAGGGAGAATAGATACCTTCACCTGGCCCTAGACCAGCTAGGCCAGGTTTGAGGGTATTGGGCAGAAGGAGCTCTGAAGGCTGCAGGCAGCAAGGTGACAATACACAGGCTGATCATTCTAGGGTGATCTGCCGCTTATAGAAGTTCCTCTGTCAGGTTGGAGAGGACTACGGAGGTCAAAGTGCAGGCTAGGAAGGAGAATCATGGTGGCGGGTGGGGAGGGTCTGGCTGTTTTAGAGGGTCTGCGCAGTGTAAACGGGGAACACAGCCTTAAATAGAGACTAATGTCCCAGACATTTGGGGCTGGAAGGTATCTTTCACAATCAGTGAATTTGAATTTCCCACTTAGATAAGCAAACAGGTAAGGCCCAGGGCAGACATAGAAACCGGGCCTCCCCTCCTAATTTATTCACTGTTTAAAGGCTTCAGGAACTGTGAGCTGTTCTGATAACTTCCTGAGGGAAAGAGGTGAGGCAGGTAAGGTGGCAGCTTATATTCCTAACTACCTTAATTCCTGATACTATCATTGGTGTGGGTGTCTGACCCTTCCGTGATTCACAGCTCCTCATTCTTACCCCACCTGGGACACAGGCCTTCTTTTGTCGAATCCACTGAGACACATGTTACTTTCATTTTGGCCTCCAGTAATAAAATTAATTCAAAGAGTTTCGTAAATTGATTCAGAGAGCTACAGGCCTGAGGCGTGAAAGAAATCTGATTACAAGTACATAATGGAGTCAGGGACCATGTCTGAGGGAGGGATTCTCCTTTCCCTTCCAAGTGTCGCAGGAAGCTAGTCCAGAATCTGGGTCACAGCCCTCCCACCAGGGCCCTCTTCCCTTCTCCTGCCATATTCGGTAATTGACTTCACAGGTTCTGGATTTTGAAAAGGAGATAGGCACAGATAGGCACAGGCAGAACAGTTTAACAAGTTTTATTTCTATAGAGAACTAGGCTAAATATTTGCATTCTGATGAAGTTGCAGAATGTTTGGGACACCCTCCCTCTTGTGGTTCCCTCCCTTTCTCTACCTATGAGTCCTACTCTGAATTCAAACAAGCCTCTTTTCTCCTCTTCACCAAGGTCACTTGGTGGCACAAGTAGTTTGCAATTGGCTAATAACCTACCCAGCAGCATCACGAAAAAAAGGCCTGACAATCTGCTTCCATAAAGATTATAGCCTTTGAAAACCCTATGGAGCGGTTCTATTCTGTAACACATGGCGTCACTATGCATCAGAATTGACTTGACTGCAATAGGTTTGTTTTCTTGATTTTCTTCCCTTCACTCGTCTCTTGCCTGCCAACTCAAATGAGCCGTCTTCAGAGAGCTCATCTCCTCCAGGAAACCTGCCTGGATGGAACACTCGTGCTTTCTTTACTTTCTGTGAAGTGGGAAAGGCTTTGCACTGGGAGTTGTGAGAATTAATGCTGACCTTCAGCCTTGGGGGAATTGTTGTGGGACATTGGGCAAGTCATTTCTCCTTCCTAGGCTCAATTTCTGTGTATCAGTTAAAGGAGGTGGAATGAGATTGTCTCTATGGGTCCTTCTAGATCTGATGAAAATAAGCCTATCTGTGTGGCTGGGCCAGCTAGTTTCCATTCATAAGCCTTCCAGCCTAATGGGAAAAATCAGGAAAGAGGCTTAGACACACTGTGTGTCAGATGGGCGTGAGTATTTGAACCTCTACATTATTTTCATTGTATTTCAGTTTAGTTCAGTAAACCATCTATCGGACAACGACTGTGGGCATAGTACTGCCCTTAGCTATATGGAGGATATCAAGACCCCTCCGACAGTGCCTCCTGCAGGGAGCTTACAGTCTTGGAAAGGGATAGACAAGAAATGTACCAATAGTTATTAATCTAAGACAGAATGTAATTAAGAGCTACTCTGGGAGTAGTTGTGGTACATTAGAATCGGCCTGGGAGCTTATTAAAATGGCACATTCCTGGTTCCAGCCCCTCTCCCCAACGGTTTCATTACAGAGGTTTGGGATGGAGTCTGGAAATCTACATTTTTAATTAGTTCCAAGGTAATTCTGATGCCAGTGTTGCAAGGGATGCCAGTGATTCTGATGCTGGTTTGAGAAGCTTTGACATAGAGTCTGAGGGAGCAAGCTTTGTTGTAGGAGAGATCTGGATTAGATTTCTAGAAACCTGGAATTTAGTAGGCACGCAATGAAACACTTACGACCAGATGAAAGAATTGACCTCGGGCAAATTATGTAACAGCTCTGAGTCTTGATTTCCCCATTTATAAGGAAATAAGTATAGTACCTCCTGATAGAGTTGCTGGAGAGGTTAGATAAGTGATACATGTTTATTATATAGGACCCGTGCCATCATAAGCATGCAGTACTTGGGCCACTTGTTATTATTATTGCCATTACTAGAGTTATAGGTGGTCCTGTGGGACTGGGGAGGGCTTCAAGGATGAGGTAACTTTACATCTAGGCACTGAAAGATATGTGGATTAATCAAGAAATAAAAACAAATTATGCAAATTCTTCCAGATAATAGAAGAGGAGGAAACCCTTTCCATCGTGTTTTATGAGCCAGCAATATCCTGATATCAAAATCAGACAAAGACATTGTAAGAAATAAAGACTAAAGTCCAATATTCTTTATTGACATAAGGTTCAAAAGGTTTCAACAAAATATGAGCAAATTGAATCCAGAAATATATAAAAATATATATTTGACACACACACACAGACACACATATATATAATAATGCATTATGATTAGATAGGGTTTAACCTATGAATGGAAGGCTGGTTCAACATCCCAAAATTTAATTAAGGTATTCACCTTATTGACATATGAAAGAAGAAGAAGGAAAAAAAAAAAAAAATATGATAATCTCAACAGATGCAGGAAAAGTATTTAACAAAATCCAACAGTCATTTATGGTAAAAACTCTCAGCAAACTAAGAATAGCTTGATAAAGGGCATCTATATAAACCTACAGTTAATAATACTTAATGGTGAAAGCCTCAAGGCTTTCCCCTTAAGACTGAGAACAGGCAAGGATGTCTGCTATCACTACTATTCAGTATCATACCAGAATATTAAACAGTGTAATAATGCAAGACATAGAGATTGGAAGGAGAAAATAAAATTGTCTTTACTCACAGATAACATGATTATCTGTGCAGAAAATCCCAAAGAATCTACACAAAACCTATTCGAACTAATACATGAGTTTAGGA